CACTACATTAAAAAACACATTTTTTATATCCATTCCTTGATTGATGGGCATTTGGGTTGTTTCCAAGATTTAGCTGTTACAAGTTGTACTGTTGTAAACATGCATACATTGCTCTGGTGTAATGTTTTCAATTCTTCTGGGAGAATACTTAGAAAGAGAATAGCTGGGTCAAATGAAACCTCTGATCTTAGTTTTCTGAGAAATTGAGACAATGATTTCCACAGTGGTCGTGCCAGTCTGCATTTCTAACAACAGTGGAGAAGGGTTCTTTTTCCCCACAGCCTCTCAGCATTTGTTAGTGGTTGATTTCTTGATAGTAGCCATTCTTTCCAGGGTGAAGTAGAATCTCAGTGTTGTTTTAATTTGCATCTCTCAATGACCAGTGATATTGAACATTTGTACATACGTTTATTTGTTGTTTGTATTTCTTATCTGAGAAGTATATATTCATCTCAGATGCCCATTTTTGAATTGGATCTCCCAATTTGGGAGGTCTGACTTTTTTGAGTTCTTTATATGTTCTCAATAATAATCCTTTGTCTGAGCAACAGCTGGCAAACATTTTTTCCCAGATTGTAGGCTGTCTTCTGACTTAGTTGATGGTTTCTTTTGCTGTGTAACAAAGCTTTTTAATAAGATAAAATTCCAGTTGATGATTCTTTGTGATAGTTCATGTGCAATCAGGGTTTTATTCATAAAGTCTTTGCCTATACCAATGTTTTCAGGAATTTTACCTACTCTAGCTTAAAGCAGATTCAATGTTTTTGTTTTAATATTTAGCTCTTCGATCCATTTCTTATTTAGTTATTTCATAGTGAAAGATACAGATGCAATTTTCAGCATGTACAAAGCCAGTTTTTCCAGCACCATTTATTTAAAAGACTATCCTTCTTCCAGTGGCTATGTTTGGCACCTTTGTCAAAAAAAAAAGTAACTTAATATGTCTGGAGTTATTTTTTTTTTTTTTAGAATATATTTTTAGCTTGAGAGTTGTCATCATTGTTCAACATTGTGTGGGACAGTTTACATTCTTTTTTGGTACTCATACTTTAACACCCAGTTTGTATTTTTTTTTTTTTGTCTTTTTCATTTTTATCAGTACCAGGGATCGAACTCATGACTGCCTGCTTGCAAGGCAGGTGCTTATGCCACTGAGCTAAATCCCCAGCCCCATGTCTGGAGTTGTTTCTGCATTTTCTCACCTGTTCCATTGATCCTTGGGTCTTTTTTTTTTTTTCTGCCCATACCATGTAATCTTTTTTAAAATCAGAGTAGCTTTATAGAACATTTTCATGTCAGGGTTTATAATGCCCCATGCCTTGCATTTGTTGCCCAGAATTGCCTTTGCTATTCTGGGTTTCTTCTAGTTCCAAATTAATTTAAGGATTGTTTTCTATAATTCTGTGAGATATGCTGTTATAATTATGATCAAATTGCATTAAATCTGTATATCAGTTTGGAAGTATTACCTTTTTTACTTTTTTTGGTTATTTCTACCTAAAAGCAAGGAATATCTTTCCATTTTCTGAGATTCTCTTCAGTCTCCTTTTTCACAGTACTGTAGTTTTCATTGTACAAGTCTTTTACTTCCTTTGTTAGACTGATTACTAGGTATTTCATTTTTTGAAGGTTATTGAAGAAGGTATTATTGCACTAATTTTTCTCTTGGTGGTTTTTTTATTTCATGTACAGGAAGACTATTGATTTTTAGTGTTGATTTTGTATCCTGCTGTGCTGTTGAGTTTGCTTATTAAATCTAACAGTCTTTTTTTTTTATCCTGCTATTTTTAATTTATTTTTCCCATAATTAAAAGGATAAAAATGAAAAAGTAAATAATAAAAAAGGAGACTGAGATAAAAGAGGGTAAAACAACAAAACAGTGCAGGTCAAAACATAACCATTTAGGGCTGGGGATTTAGCTCAGTGGCATAAGCGCCTGCCTTGCAAGCAGGCAGTCGTGAGTTGGATCCCTGGTACCGATAAAAAGGAAAAAGACAAAAAAAAAAAAAAAACCCAAAACATAACCATTTAAGCAAAATAGTGTTTCACCACAAGATAATCCCGACATAAAAGTAGTTACCATAGTGTCTTTTTCCTTGAAATCTTTGAGTATAACTTCGTACACTGTAGCATCAAACATATCAAGACAATGTAAAACCGTTCAAGAGAATGACAGTATTACAGGGTATTTAGAATTAGCTAACAGAAAATGAACAATGGTTTCTGTATAATCTCCTTGTCTATAAATTTTTTGTTTATATTATCACATATGAATAGAATTCAATAAGATACAACATGATAAGACCGATGGAGACAGAAGAACAAAAGCTTGATGGGACTTCAAAACAAGATGATATTAAATAAGCACTACCTATTATGATGTCTTGTTTTCTCCAAAATAGCTGTTCCTACCATCCAAGCTTCTCTGCCTCATTTCTGTTGAGTTCTTTTTCTGTCATTAGTTGTCAGTTTGTCTTCTTCATTTCGCTTTCTGCTCCATTCATTGTGGCCTCTCTGCCACTGTTTCTGTAATCTTGGTATTTTTCTTTTTTAGAATATCCTGCAGTATTCTCTGTAGAGTTGAATTGGTGGTTGCAAATTCCCCTAGTTCCTCTTTATCCTGGAAGCACCTTGTTTTTCCATCAATTTCTAGGGACAGTTGTGCAGGATATATCAATCTTGGCTGGAGGTTATTACCTTTCAAAGCTTGAATTATTTCCCCGCACGCTCTTCGTGATTTGATGGTTTGTGCCGAGAAGTCTGCTGTAATTCTGATGGGTATTTAGAATCTTGGTGGTTTTTTTGTGGTGGTTGTAAGTGATCTGTTTCTTGTCTCTGATGGCTTTTAATATTCTGTTCTTATATTGTATTTCTGGAATTTTGATTATTATATGCCTGGGTGTAGCTCTGTTTGGGTTGTACGTGGCTGGGGTCCTGTATGCCTCATACATCTGAGTATCTTTACCTTTTGCTAAATTAGGGAAATTCTCCTGGATTATTTCTGTGAATAGCTTTTGCAGTTCATTTGTTTGTGTCCCTACTTCTTCTTTTATGTTCTTAATTCTCAAGTTATAGATTCTCTTATCTTCTAGCCTTTATATTATTGCTGTTTGTTTTCTTGTTATTTTTAAGAAGTTTTTCATTTCATGCTCCCACCTTACAAATCTGTCCTTCAGTTCTGATAATCTATTCTTAGTTTCTTTCAAGCTGTTATGCCAGCTTTTGATAGAGTTTTTAGTTTCCTGGTAATCTCTTTGAACCTGCTTCACGTATGCTATGTTTTTTCTATTTTCTCCATCAAACAATTTTCCCCTTTTTTTCTGTACTTCCATTCCACCATCTGTTTTTTAAGGGGTGGTGCTTAGCATTTCTCTAACTATTCTACTTATTTCTTGCTTTATTTCATTAAATACTTCATTTTTGAACTCGTCTATGAGGCTCTGGAGATACCGCTTTATGTCTATTGGTGCCGTGTCTGATACTGCATGTTTTCTGTCCTCATTCTCCTTTGCATTTACCTTTCCTGGATCAGTGTTCTCAGGATTGGGGACTGAGGACCCTTTCTTATTGCTCCCTCTTCCCATACTTTTTGTTCCTTCCATACAAGCGTATATTGGAGGCCCAGTTTTTTTCTCTTGCTTGTCTATTACAGTTTGTTTGAATCCATAGGCTAGGTGTTCCCACCCACTGCAGTGTACTAGGGAGACACAGACCTGGGCAACCTCTGCTGGGCCCGCCTCTCCAGGTCAACCTAGTGAAGGCTTCACTGCTAGGGTGCACTGTCAGGCACTGGGACCTGGTTTGGGCTAGCCTATTGGATCTTAGTCCGCAGTGTCATCAGGCCAGGCACTCCCCACCAATCCCTCTTGAGAGGGGAATATGTGACTAAAGTCACTGCACCGTCCTGTTCTGGCTAGTTCCGGCTAGTCTGCCCAGTCCCAGAATGTCCTCTGTTGGAGCCTCCTACTCTATGAAAGGGTCCCCGTTCCTCTCACTCACCGCAGGTTGATGCAGGGCTCCTGGCCAGTCCCACTCTCAACTCTGTTCGCAGATTCCCGCTCTCAGAGCTTTCACATGTCTCTCTCCCTGCTGTGCCGATTGGGACACAGCAGGGGCAGCAGGAAATTAAAATCGTCACACGGGTTCCAGCTTCCATGCTGAGATTTTATCTGTTCCTGTTATAGCATCAGGATTGTATTTCTAGTTGGTTTCTCTCAGCTTAGTTTGTTCCTGGGTCAGCAGGGTACATCTCCCCCTGCTTAGGACTCCTCACACCACACCATTCCTGGATTCTAAGCTGACTAACTCAGAGAGCCTCTGTAGCTGCTGTTACCTGTCTGCCATGTTCTCCTGGAAGTCAAAATCTAACAGTCTTTTAATGGAATTTTTGGGTCCTTTTTGTAGAGTATTATGTCATCTGCAAATAATGATAATTCAACTTCTTCCCTCACTGTCTTTATTCCTTTTATTTCTTTGTCTTGTCTAATTGCTCTGGCTCATATTTCCTGAACTACACTGAATAAGAGTGGAGACAGTAGACATCCTTTCTTGTTCTTGATTTTAGAACTTTTTCACTGTATTAAGAATGTTTTTTCAGTACTCAGAACTGAACTCAAGCTTTCGCAATGAGCTACTTTCATAGCCCTTTTTAGTTTTTTTTTTTTTTTAAACTTTTGAACCAGCATCACCAAGTGGTCAGAGTGCCCAAGTTGGGCTCAAACTTGGGATTCCCTTGCCTCCACCTCCTAGAATGCCTGGTTTAGAATCTGTCATTTTACCAAACAAATGTTTCCTAACGTAGAATAACTCGCCCTGAGTTACTTTGCAGAGCACTTGTAAACAAATGTTGTATATGTGTAGAATCTCTTAACCCTCACTTTCCGGATGCAAATGATCTCAATGACTCGGTGACTTTAGGGGCATTAGTGCAGCCAGTGTCAGTGAATGTCCAGAGTAACTGAGTGCACAACTGAATTTGTTCTGTGCATTTCTGCTGCAGGGATTCAGAGCCAGCCCTCGGCATCTCAGGAGACGAGTCACAGCAGCCGCAGCTGCCCGCCTGGAGGAAGTGAAGCCTGTGGTGGAGCCACACCATCAGAGTGAGCAGGAGGCTTCTGGGAGGAAGCGGAGGATCAAGAAAAGCAGCCGTGTCCAGCCTGAGTTTTATCACTCTGTTCAAGGAGCTTCAGCCAGAAGGCCTGTAAGTAGAGACTTGCCTCTCGTGGGATATTGCAGCATTGTCAAGTGGTGTAGTGGATGTCTTAGCTCAGGAGGAAATATCTTAGTTGCTGGGATACATCCAGCTCAGTGGCTCGAGCTCTCGCTTAGCATGTGCACAGCCCCAGGTTTGTGCCCTAGTACTGCAAAAGGCAAGAAAAAAGAGGTACTACCTTAGTTATGCTGTCGATGTGCTGGCAGGGGTATGCTGGTGCGAGTCAGCCAGGTGCTGAACAGTCATCAGCATTGGGCACTGTCAGCAAATCTGTGTAAAAACTAGTGAGCTCCTAGCACCCTGCAGCTGGGATAAGGAGGCTTGGGTCGTGGAACTTGAGAATGAGCATCGATGAGATCAGTGATGTAGCAGTGAGCTGGCAAGGGTCAGGATGGGAGAGAGAGGGGATGGGAGGGGAGGGCTCCCAGCTGAGCCCCTCTGGAAGGCTCTTAGGCAGTGAGGACTGTACTTCCCTGTGACCCAGTCTCTGTTGGCTGTGGTATTGCCTTTTCTGGGAAACCTGGGGCTCAGCGGGGAGTTGATCTCCACCACCTGCTCCTATGCTAGGCACATTGTTCTCTGTGCTGTTAAGTTTTTTCTTGGTGGGGTTCTAGCACATGGACTTGTTAGCCGAGGTAGTGATAGTTAAGGACTTGGGACTTAGAAAATTCCATTGCAAAACATCTAAAAAGTGTTTCATTACTGCAATGATTTTGCATTCCTTTTATCTGAAAAAAAGCTACTTGTGTGATTCCTCACTGTGTTGCATGGAGTCTGTTACTGTCATTGTTTGTTGAGGTCCCCTCCAACCTGCCCAGCGCACTGGGGATTGGACTCAGGTCTGAGCCTGCACTGGGCGAGCACTAGCCATCAAGAATTAACTTGGTAATAAGTTTTTGTAAATTATTAAAACAGAGCTGCCCTTCTGTAGGGGGTCAGCGTTGTAATGGGCACATGTGGAGACTGTTGGAAGGCCAGGAGATGGTAAAGTCAGGGACCAGGCAGTAGCAATGGCATGGCCCTGAATCACCTTACAGAAAAGATTGTATTCCTCATTCACCACTTGTGACATGAGTGTAATGAACTGGGTTTGGTGATGCATTCTGACAGGCGCATTGTTTGGTGGGGGTGATTTCCTGTTGTACAGGTGTGGAACCCACTCGCACAGGCCGCATGGCACAGCAGCTGTGCCCAGGCTCGTGTGGCATATGTGTGGTATTACTCCTTGCTCCCTGGGCCACAAAGAGTAAAACAACATGAGATGGAATCAGGCATGAGAAAAAATGGTGCAATCAAGACACCTGGTAAATGTGAGTATGAGGCTCTGGCCAGGGTGTAATGCAGCCGATTGCTTTCTTTGTTACAAAAGTAAGATGAAGGAATGTGCTCCAAAACAACAGTAAAAAGTACAGCATCGGCGAAGTAAACAGTTAAGATGTGTTGTGTTCACGTGCCAGCTCCTCGAGGTGAATGTGATCATTATGTGTTGCGAACATGTGCTAATAAAAACAAGAGAAGCAAAAGATCCTTTTCAAAATCTCATCTAAAAACCATAGACCCATACGCCAATAACTGAGTCATTTATCATCCGTATTGAGTCTTAATCATGAAGAGCTGATCATTTGTGTGACCTGTGGTGGGGCAGGTTCGCTATGCCAGTGCCATGACAGATGCGCCGGTCTGCACTGCACCACTGGCACAGTGGGCACAGCTGGCACGGCACCTGTGCTGCCCTGAGGTTAGGGGGCAACCTCTGCTCAGTTCTGTCTCATTGAACTGCCCCTTCGGACTTACTCAACAAATGCATACTTTTTTATACAGGAAATAAAGGGTACACAGATATAGAACAGTTACTGAAGGCTTAGCATGTGACAGGCACTGTTTTGTAGAACTAATTTCATCCTGTGAGGCGAATGCTATTTTTGCCATTTTATGATTTGTGAAACTGAGGCCCAGTAAGGGTGAATAACTTGCCTGAGTGACCTTTTATCTGGGACTTAATTTAGAATTTGGATCTAATGCCTGCCTCCTGAGGGCGAGTAGCTACCTCTACTCATCACTTCCCCATAGCCTTGGTTTCCAGGCGCTCAAGAGGAGTGGGTGGTGGTGGTGTGGGGGAGTGGGGGTGGGTGGAGTGTGTTGAGTGGGAGAGTGTGTGGTCTGTGCTGAGAGCACAGCTGTGGTCACGAACACTTAGGGGGGAAGTGTTGCAAAAGGCCAACAGTGCTTACAGCTGAGTGGACACTTGACCTGGGCCTTCAATGATTAGAAGCAGTTTATTAGCCTTTACAGTGGTATAATCCCAGCTGTTCGAAAGGCTGAGGCAGGAGGATTGCAAGTTCAAGGCCAGTCTGGGCAATGTAGCAAGCCCTTGTCTGCCTCTAGATAAAACAGAAAAGGCTGGGGTAGTCCAGAGTTACAAGAATCTGATCCCTAGCACTGTGGGAGGCCCTGGGTTCCCTGCCCAGCACTACCAAAAAGAAAGTTTTATTGAGAGGAAGGTGAAGACGATATCTCACATGACACACCAGAGACACAGAGGCCTGGAGGGCTGGGCATCTGCAGTGCCTGTGTGGGTGCTGCGTGTGAGGCAGGACAGAGAGGCCGTGGGCTGTGTGTGGCCTTGTCTATTAGCTTTGGTGTGGAACCGGTCTTCTTTGCTGGCCTCGGGAGTGGGTATGTCTTTTTCCTTGCTTAGAGTCTCTCTAGTAGTGATAACTCCCCTGGGGAGCAGGATACAATCGGTGGCCACCCTAATCTTCCCGAGCCCTCAACTCACCTGCCCGGCTAATAAGACACCTCCTCTTGCCTTGGAGCCTTGGAACCTGCTGCCACTCAGTCCACTCAGTCCTGTCTGTCCTCCCTGCTTGCCAGGGAGCTCCAGCTTGGCTTTCATGGGAGCCTTATGCACATGTGAATTGCTTCTTGGAGTCCCCTCTGTCCCTGCTGTCCTCTGCCTGGACTTGACCTAGCAGGTGCCTCCAGGAAGAGCAGCGCTGCAAGGAAGATCCATGCTGTGCGGATTGCACTCTGTAGCTGCAGACGAAGCTGGCGTACTCAGTGGGTTTAACTGAATGGTTTTAGGAGGGTCACTTTTTGCTTTCTTTTGAGGCAAGGTCTCACCAGCCTAAGCTAACTCCCAGTGATTCTCCTGCCTCAGGCTCCCAAGTGCAGGGATTCCAGGCACCACAGTGTCGGTGTCAGCTTCAGGAGAGTGCTTCTCACAGAGCTGTGGTGTGGCTGGGGTGCTTCATCAGCCCATCAGGGAACCAGCCTGCCTGCCACTGCTGGCCTGAAGGATGGCAGAAGGCTGAAGAGCACAGCTAAGGGAGAGCCTGCCTCAGGGCCGTGGTGGAGTGCGGGAGCTGCTGCAGGAGCTCAGGGGGTCCGGAAGAACACCGGATACATGCCTTGACCTCCTGAACCCTCCCTGTCCTATGCTGGCAATGCAGAGGTATTGTTCTCTGTGCTGTTGCCTTTCTACCTTTCTCATTTAATTTTCCCCGTGGTTCTCTGGGGTAGCTACTCACTTTTCAGAGTAAGAAATTCCTCACAGGAAGACCATCACATGTAGTGATGTGGAACATTCTAGACCATTTTAGCCTGGTTCTGGAATCATAAGTTCTGCCCAGGAAGATCTGCAAAACTAGATTTGTTGTAATTTTGTTTTTTTAAAAGGAACGTGGGTCCTTTATGATCTCTAATTTTTCCCTGGGAAATATAGATGCCTTAAGCAGAGCCTTTAAATCCAGGGCTGCTGACTGACTTTCCTTTCCAGAAACTGGTCTTTAATCAGGAAGGGCCACTTAGGTGGAGAAAGGCCAGAGAGAGTAGCATGAAAGGATTTCCTGGCTGCCCCGGCTACTCCACTCCCATGACTGTGCCATTCTCCTGTTGGTTTCTGTTTCTAAGTCTTGAGGCATTTTCTGCTTTTTTCATTGCAGTTTAGCTTGATGTAAGATTGCAAGGTATTTGGTAACTTTGCGTAGTTTTGTTTTAAAAAATTAATATAGCAAGATTTTAGGACATCTCCATAGCTGGGAGTTTATTCCCTCTCATAGGAAAAACTATACATGTGCCCTTAATCTTATTGAAAACCCAGCAGGATGCTTCCCTGCCCTTTCTCCTTGGGTTATTAAGTGGTCTTCCCTTTCCCTTTCCTTTTCAGATGTGCAGGGCCAGCCGATTATTTGCATAACCTCAGGACACTTCCGCTGAGACAGTCATTTCTGACTTAGGCTAGTTCATCAGCACATACAAAGTTCTTAAAGGAAACATTTGTTTCCTTTTCATTTGCATTTCTGGAGTATGGATTAATAATGTTAATTTTCTTTTGCAAACTACCTGAAGTTACATTTTCCTTGTTGATTTTACTGAGTTCCTACACATTGCACCTGGCTTTTAGGTTTTGAATTAAGGGAACCTTACACAGTAGGAGATTTCACTTGTTACAGATTTGCTGTCAGCAGGCATAGGAATATCTGCTTCACCAGCCTATGCAAAGTTAAGAGGGTGACATTACTTGACAGTGCTAGTGTGGGTAGTGTTTGGTCTCCTGGGATCAAGATGAATTTGAAGGGCTTCATGTGTTCCCCTCGGAGCAAAGGATCCTGTTTTTCTGACTTACTGTCTTCTGGGTGAGCATTGTCCCTGAGCAAAGCCTCTTGTCTTCTTTTTGATTTTGTTGTGCTCCGGTCACCTGGCATTTTGAAAACCTGAAATTCTTGTAGCTCCAGGCAAAAGAAACTTAAAACACACGTAGCCACTTAATGGTTTGAAACTGCCGTAGATATCTTTCAGTCCTATCAAAGGACTGAAAAAGAAGCTCCTTTAAAGGCAGTCTGTGCATCACTGTATCTCCAACAGAATAATCCTTAAGCTGTTCTGGGCAGGTGGGTGTGTGCATTCCTTTATTTCAAGCCATGTCCATGGCTTTCTTGGAAATTCTGTGTGGCATTTAACAGACATCTTTTTCATTTTGTATTTAT